TGACTATTCGCAGGTGACACTTTGGCGACGTGGTTCGTGGAACAAGTGGAACGGGAGATGACGTATTTGGTTGATTGGAACTGGGAATGGTTTGCGAATAATATCGGGAGGTCCAGTATTAAGGATTTGAAAGTGAGGGCACGGGGGATTTATACGGGAAGCTACTGTAGGAGACTTACACCGTTCTCCTGCTGGTGTTTTCCAGAAGAGTTCCCAAGAAGGCCTCAAAGTTCATGCCGGGGGGTAGTGCAAAACATGGGGAAGGGCCAGTTGGCAGCTTGAAGGCGAACTGGTGGAGTAGAGGTGGGGGCGGGGGATGATGTGCGTGCGTAGTGGCTTGTAATAATGTTGCGACGGACACCCGCAGTCTGTAGTGGCCTCCGCATCCAGCTCGGACCAACTTCGCGATGCATCCCAGGTGTGAGTTCTGCGGCTTGAAACAAACGGAAATCGTAAGACGTGAAGCCGGGAGGTTGGACCACGATAGGTCAAATAAGTACGATGCCTGTCGTTAGAACTACAGTGGGATCGCATGACGATCCTAGAACCGTCGCTAGGAACTTGTGATAGCTCGGCGGAATTGGTGGCTTGGATGAAGAATCATGCCGTACATGAACAGGTCCGATGGGTCGCTGAGTGAGGTGCGGACTTCAGTAACAGGCTAATGGGCGTGTACCTTCACTTAGTTCTCTGTTCGTCGAGAACGGAGAGAGGGTTCATCCGTATCTCTTTGGCCGGTCGTACAGCTATTCAGTAGCCGGCTATAAAGGTCGGATCATGTAGGACCGCTTCTAGATTGGTTTATCCCCATTTTCCACTTGTGGGTTCCGCGGATCTGGCGCAACAATTACAGTACACCAGTTTTGTCCGTCAATTCACCTCTGGGGCACATAAAACAAAGCCTCTTTGGTACTTAAGAAGTACCGTTGGTGGCCTCGTCATAAGGAGCTTTTCCCCATCAGCAGAAGACGGGGTCCACCAATTTGAAATACCCACTCGATCATGGGCTGTCAGAGAGGGCTTGAAAAAAGGCATCATGTCTTTGGGTTTAACCCTTTGACGGGGTGGTCTTTGCGTTGGTTGTACATACAGTCCCACCAGTGGTCCTAGCTTTCTTTCTCAACTAAAGGGCCTGTGCAATTGAGGAGGTGTCACGGGGAAGGGGATTCTTTAATCACTGGTTCCCTCATGCCCTTGGAATGATGACACTCCACATGGTATGAAGAAAGCTGCCGAACTTGCTCACGATCCTATTACCGAATACCCCAGTACCGAAGAAGAGCAGGAAACAGAGGAAGAAGACACCAAGCTCCCAGCGAAAGCGAACCAACCCTCCACTTAACACATACTATCACACAAAACTTTTACAACCTCACATATACCACGTTGACTTCAAAATTGCCAAACCTAAACCCTAAATATAAGCCACATGATTCATTCGATTCTATTCACCATAATCCTGTATTAGTAAACGAGTTAAACTAGTACTGGAAACGGAGACGACCCAGAGGGCATATGAATCATTCGCCCGGTCACTTTCCTCTTTGCTCATACCCGTACCCCCTCACACCCATCAACAACAACAACAACACTTCGTCCTTTTTTAAAAGTTAACCCATGGCAAAGATTCCATGATGCAGCCAGCAAATACACCGAGCAACGCAACGTCGGAGGTAGATCCGTACAGCCCAGGATGGAATCAAGGACACAATGCCTCCACTGCCAGCATCCCGACCGCTCATGCTATGCCAGTAGATTCGTCAACAAGCTCGATCCCTTCTCATTCCGATTATTACACGGGTCCACCACAACCAGGCCAATTGAGCGAAGCAGATCTAATTGCCAAGAGAAAGGAAAAAGAGGAAAAGAAAAAGAAAGGCATGGGTGGTGCTGTGGGTGGCGCTGCAGCCGTGGCAGGTGTGGCAGGTCTCATGTTGGTGGGACCCATTGTAGGCGTTGCGGCGGCTGGAGGAGCTGCCATTGTGGCTGCCACCAACAAGGGTGCTGCTGGGTCAGCATTGAGAGCTTCCGGTGTAGCAGCAGCTAAAGTGGGGTCAAGTGCACGGAAATTGGAACAAAAAACTGGAGTTGTGAAAAAGTCAGCCTCGGGAATCGCCACCGGTGTTGGATGGGTAGCCGGAAAAATCAACAAACGACGATCGCAACGAGAAGTCCAGAGAGAGGCAAATTCGCCAGCCACCGATTTGACATCTTAAAATGTCATACCGGTATGTGATTCACTGTTCAAGAAAACTCCTCGAAATCAATCCAGCCATTATCTCGGTGCTGCGAAAGGTGGCATTTTGCTGTCTCTGCTCTGCACTAATAAAACAACAATTAACAGTGAGTGCGAGATTTGATTCGATTCGATTCTGCTAGGCGCAATAGCCTAAAATCGAGAGTACAAGCGCGTGGACAACATTGGGTATGAGAACATACCAGTACTAAACGCAACAAAACCCAATTGGGTCGCAAGTCGTAGTCACCAACTAATTTAGTGTTTGACAATCCGACCCTTCAATTCATTCCGCGTAAGGAAGTGTGATGGGAATCATTGACCTTTTTGGCTCTTGTGGCTTTGAAACTGCAAATTGTTGCCCGCTTAGATGTTCGTCGTCAAGTATGTAGTTACGGTTTGGCGCTCGCAGTCATCGTTCTTTCTAGAGCTCAGGTGTTCATGAAGATGTATTTGGTTTCGAGATACTCTGCAATTCCCAAGGAGCTGCCTTCACGTCCCAGCCCGCTCTCTTTTATGCCACCAAATGGCGCTGCACAAGAGGAAATTATGCCATCGTTGAGACCCACAATCCCACACTCTAACTGTTCCGAAAAACGGAAGGCTCGGCTGAGGTCTCGAGTGCAAAAGTATGAAGCCAAGCCAACGTCGGAGTCATTGGCAAGCCGCAAGGCTTCCTCTTCTACGTCAAACTTGATTATCGGGGCAACGGGGCCAAATGTTTCTGTCTTCCAGATGGATGATTCTGGAGAAACGCCCGTCAAGATGGTGGGTTGATAAAAATGAGGTCCCAAATCTTCCATGGGCGATCCTCCCAGCGCACATGTAGCCCCATCCCGTTCCAATGCCTCTTGCACTTTCTGATGAGTCCTCGTGACAGCGTCTGCTACAATCATTGGCCCCATGGTAGTCTCCTTGTCCAGGCCGGGTCCTACTACTAGTTTCTGAGCTGCTGCCACAAACTTGTCCACAAACTCATCATGAACCGCGGCGTGCACCAGGAATCGGTCGGCGCAAACACACGTTTGACCGGCATTGCGGAACTTGGATGCCATGGCGGCAGTCACGGCCTGATCGATATCGGCATCGTCAAAGACTACAAATGGTGCATTTCCTCCTAGCTCGAGAGATAGGCGCTTGACAGTGTCACTGCTCTGCTTCATCAGGAGCTTTCCGACGGCTGTGGATCCAGTGAAACTCAGCTTTCGTACCAGAGGATTCGTGCACAGTTCGCCCCCCACTTGAGGAGTAGAGGATTTGTCCGTCGTGCTGTAAATTAGAATCACACAACGGTGAACGAGACGGCAGACGGCTGCTTGCTCTCAACGTTATCAACACGGTACGACACTCACATCAGTTGAAGCACATTTTCCGGAATCCCAGCTTGCTCTGCCAAATTTTGAAGGGCCACTGCTGTCAAAGGTGTCAACTCGGAAGGTTTGACAATGGCCGTGCACCCTGCCGCCAACGCAGGTCCGACTTTCCTCGTGATCATGGCAATAGGAAAATTCCACGGTGTGATCAACCCAGTAACCCCAACGGCTTGTTGCTTGGCCATGATTTGACCTCGTGGAGCACCATTGGTTGTTGCAAAGGGCGTGGGAATCATGAAGCCTCCTCCAGCACCTGTAGATCTCACTGCTTCTGCCGCATAAAAGTCCAAGAAACTGGTGGCATAGTTAACTTCTCCCCTGGATTCGGCAAGCGGTTTCCCCGATTCGAGTGTCATAATGATGGCCAAGTCATCGGCATTTTCTTGAATGAGGCCAGACCATTTCGATAGTAGATTGGATCGGAAGGAAGCTGTGGTTCCATCTCTCCATGAAGGCAGAACATGGTAGGATCGTTCAATTGCTTGACGAGTCTCCTCTCCCCCCTGGATTGGGACTTGCCCCACTATTTCATCAGGCTTGGCGGGGTTGAAAACATCCAAAAGAGACTTGCCCGAAGCAACAGCCAGCAGAGACGGATTCTTTAACAAGCTCGCAGCAGCAGCAGAGGTACCAACTGGTGCTGAAGTGCTCAATGCTCGTGTCACTGCTCGACTCCAAGGGCGAACGCCAGCCATGAGTGTTAGCATCAGTGCCTGTTTCTGGGAGAGATGTATCATCCTCATCATCAATGGCTCCCCATTCACTTTGGCGTCTTCACGAGAAGACAAAAGCCAAAGATCCATCAAAGATCGTCGTAATTAGAAGCCAGCTTAGGCTGAAAAGAGCACACCAGATGAAGGAGCCCTCTCTTTTGATTGAATCATTCTCTTACCAGCTACGGTCGTTTCTCCGCACCACCCACAGGATACCAGGACCATTGAGGGGCAAGAGCTTTTCGCTACGGTAGTACAATTGAAGGTACAGATTGAAATGGAATCATACGGTATGTACGGGTATCGGTATGAGCGAATTCAACTTAAGAGAATTGTGCCCTGGCTAGATGGGTATCTGCGAGGCCGTTTCCTTTGCTAGCTTTTGCATGCCACGAGGCACCATCAGTTCCATCGATCGTGTGCCTTGTGCCGACATGGGACCCAGAGATTGATTGCAGGTTTACATTGTGGCGGCCTGCCAGCACCTCCAACACGTACCGCGCCCAGCTGCGCCGACAACGTAGCGATCACTTTACATCACAGCATTAATGCTGGTACGTAGGATTTCCTTGCAAAAGAGCATATTTTCAATCGTCATCATCACTGTAGTCGTCATCATCTTCATAGTGATATGATTCTTCGCGGTAGTCGCTTTGCCAGGCGACATCAATACCGGTAGTTCCACCGTGAGAGCGGCACACTCCAGCAGACTCCAACATTGCCATCATGATCATCTGGCTTTCTTCCGTATCTCCTTTGTGTCTTGTTGTTGGGGGAGAATATGAAGATGCTGCCATTCTTTGCTTCCCCATTGCCAATGCACTGTCCTTCTCCAAGGGAGCGGATGGGACGTCACGGCTGGAACATGCTGCCCACCCATGAATTCCGGCAGAAGTTCCACCCACCAAATAGCAACTGGCCGTCCCCTGTTCCATGCCGTGGAAAGCTTCATAGTTGCGAAGGGCCACTTGCACAACTTCGTCATCATACTTCTTTTCGAACATTGGGTCAGAAGTTCTTTGTTCCGCAGATATATCCATTGTTTCTTGTCGAAACGCTCTCAAAGCAGCGATTGACTCAGAGTAGCTCTCGCTCCGTGGACGGGCCAAGTGTGCTAGTCTATCAAAGTCAGGCTCCTTCTGCATGGGGTCGGATTGTTGCTGCTGGTAAGAACGAATCATGGTATCCAGGCGATATTGGTACCCCCCTGCAAAGCAGCTTTTCTGGCGCTGCTTACTATGGCATCCATTGCAGGGGCATCTCGATTGGGAATTAGTCCCATTGACTTCTTTTGTGATTCCGAGCTACTCAGCATGTCATCGGATGTCATGATGCTATTTTGATAAGCCACTCGTAGAACTCAAAAGTTCAGTGTTGTGCGGTTTTCTTTGGTTGCTGCAAAATGAGATCAAAGTGGATGCTCTTTCTGTGAGCTTTGAAAAAAATGAGACGTGATTTTGTTTGAAGGTTAAGGTTAAATAAAAGATTCTGTTTGAAGTGACGTCATTGATGTGAGGGTATCTTTGTATCTTTCTTGGGCTACTGTACCAACCGCAATGCTCCACAACAACCAAAGCCAACACCCAAGCGTCTTCTTGTTGGTCTTGTTGGTACTGCACTAATAGTACTCGTACATTTGGGTGGTTTTCAATTGACCTACGATAAACAAAAGCAACCATGAAGCTATCTCTGATCGCTGTGCTAGTGATACTATGTCAGGTGCTACCAGCATCGTCGTTTCTGGCGTCGCCTGGATCGTCTCCGGCTGTAATACGGTTCATGTCGGAAGTGCCTTCGGATGAAGAATCACCGCCCATTCCAGAGGCCTCGTTGGCAGGCTTGGAGAGTGTCAAGGCAGATTTGGTTAGCTTGTGCAGTAAAGACCCCAAGCCGTCGTTGCAAGAAGTCCAGAGAATGGTCCGAGAGCTGGAGGAGGTTGCCGAGCAGGTGCGAGCATGCCATCATTGCCTGCGGTTGGGTTGGTGTAGACTTTTGTGGTTGGCCTTGACATTGTGTCCTAATTCTCTCGTGCTTGTTTTGTTCAGATTGGCGCCGGACAGGGCTCATCAATCTCAGGGTTGTTGAATGGAGAATGGTGAGTTGATACAGTACTGTGTACTGTGGCTTATCATTTCTGCCAAAATGCCGCACGGTCTCACACGCAATATGTTGCAAACACTTAATTGATCTACTGAATTATTCAACAAATTGGGTATCTCCAAATAAACAAACAAACAAACCTACACGACAAAAGGGAACTGTTATATTCACCAGAGGACGAAACTAGGGCCAGTCCCTTCTTTTGGGCATTTAGCAAGGCATATCCCACAAATGCCGATCAAATATTCTCCATCACCGATGCCATTCCAGCCCCCATTAAAGAAGTGGGACCTGCCTATCAACAAATAGAGTTTAGTGCTTCCAGTCAAACGGGGAGCTTCATTTCCCGCGTCAAGGTAGCCACTCTGGGTGGATTAGCCACCTCCATGATGACAACCCGTGGTTCGATCATCAAAGCAGAAGGATTGGATGGGCTGCGATTGAAAATTGAAACTACCAAACCAGAAGAATCGACCATTCTGCAAAAATTGGGTCCCTTGGGAAGTACCATCAACGAAAATGCTCCGCCCTTTCCCAGTGGCGAAGCACTGGAGCGAGTACAACCGGGCTCTTCTGAAGTTGTCATGCTCACAACATTTTGTGATGATGGCATTCGAATCAGCCGCAATGCAGACAAACCAGCGGAGACATTCGTATGGAAGCGAAGTAGCTTTGCATCATTTGAACCAATGTAACAAACACAGCGCTAAAAGATGATATAGAGAACCATGGCAACCCTTTCTTGCTGACTTATTGTAGCTAGTGTGATGAAATCCAATCCAGAAAGGACCCCGGTTGAGAGTTTCCAGCTGCATGCGCAATACCGTGCCGTTCCCGCTGTGGTCTCATCTGCGACTTCATTATTCCTTACGATCAGGATGGGCAGGCATCAATGCATTAGTGGGTTGTACTCTAGCTAGCTGCAAGCCTTCAAGGGCATTTCCCAATACTTGAAATCCATCTCAACAAAGCAGAGTTCCCGTTGGTGTCGCGTAGATTCTCAATTCGTCTTTGTTGGATTGATCATTCCCATTAATTAATCAGCTTGACGTTTTTCATTGATGGATTTGACCGCTCACGCTTTTGCTGGCATTTCTCCGATTGAGCGTTCCGTCATCAGGTTCCATCTTGGCTTTTTTCTCGAGCGGCAAGAAGCTCATCGACATTCCCAGTGACAATCTTGACTGGGGATGTCTTGATCTGATGACTTGTGTTAGTGACTGCTCCCTGGCGAAGCCCATCCCGCACAGAGCCCGAAACGCTCAGCCGTCCACCTCCATCCATTGAATCAGAAGCTGTCTCAAGCTCCCCGTACATTTCCTTGTCGAACTGATCCGGATGTTTGGCCATGATGGGAGCCAAAGGAACCCCAAAAGACCCGTACTCAACTGGTTTGTTATATCCAGGCCATGGGTATCGCACAAGAGCATGATGCATAGCTAGAGGGGAGCTATCGTTGGCATCCAAAAGAAGCGCGCCACAGTCTCCATCGTCTGTTGCAGATGCAGTGCAACCTGATTCCAGCTCAAAACCGATATCAACTTCCATTGCGTCGTCCTGGACATCCTCTTTGGCAAGAGAAGGGGTCGACACAACGCACACATTTCCACGTGTCACTGCACCGCAAACCACACACACACAACACGGTCGAATGGTTTGGAATTTGGGTCCGGTGCTGCCTTTGCTGCTGGTTTCTTGTCCATTGCGGCTCTTCCATCACCATCGGATTCGTCTTCCAAGAAATCTTGTCTTCCCGGAGGCAACGGATTCAAACATGGACGCGGCAATACCAAATCACGATCCCCCCGACCTGATCGGCGCAAGAGCTTGAGCAAATCAACTCTCCCTTTGATATGAGCATCATTCACCTCGAAAACAGCAGAGTCAGTCTCTTCGTCTAAGGAGACGACCCCACCAACTTCAATCAGTTCATAGTCCATTTCATCCCACGCCGCGCAGGACCTGACGTACCCAGGGACAGGCGCAGGGGTTGGATGATTGCGCAAAAACACGAACACAGAGTCACCAACATTTTGAAAAAGGTGACCGACAGTGAGACCGAAGATGCCACCATCGCTGTTCTTATAGCAAAAGACGATTGTGGCACCTTCGCCATCCTGGTTGAGAACCCAGTAGCCTCCGCGAATGTTGCCATCCTCCAGACTCGTGACCTTCAAGGCATTGCCACGATTCGGGGACAACTGATCAGTCAGCTTCGTGCTTGCCACCGCCGGTGCTCTCCCCATGGCGGATGGCGCCGTCTCCGCGTAGCTTGTCTTTTGCGCCTTTGCCATCCTCCATTCCTTGTTGCCAATTAATTAATAAAAGTTGTCTACGACCAACTTTATTATTGGTGTTGCTCATCGAAACCAACGAGAGCCACACCAAACGTTTTCGTGTTACGTAGCGCTCTGGTACATTTGTACATGGAACCGGATTTCCATTTGGGTCTCAGCCGGCCGGGCTCGCTCTCGTTCCAGGTTCCCACTTGTGCTGGACGACCGTTCCTCTACAGAGCCCCAATCAACCGTGCAATAGCGAGGGCAGTTAAGATTCTATAGAGGACCAACCAACGAGGGATGGCCACCGACTGATAAACATGAAAGCTGTTCCTCCTCCTTTGTTCATTATTTCGATATGGAGCAACAATGGCGCTTGATGTTGGGTGGGTGGTCCTTTACCCTCCGGACGTCACGCCTGGTAGGTACCGGTACCGGTATGAAGTCTTGTGCGTCCTGAAAGTTGAGGGTACGACAACTAGCCCTCCTGTGGCATCCTTCAACCCCCTCGATTTTGCTCTGGATTCGAAACGCCGTGATTGGAGCCCTGCGTACCGGTACCGTGGTGCATTGCCACTAAAGGAACAACCCTCTGAGTTGCCAGGAGTCTCCCTGACGGTGCATTCTCAAAAAGGCTCATCTGCGACTTCATTATTCCTTACAATCAGGATGGGCAGGCATCAATGCATGAGTGGGTTGAAAGTGCGTCAAGAATGCAACCTTGACGTTCTGACGTTCTGACACCTTCCCAGCTATGTCATAGCTCCCAGCTTCTGGTACGGCGGTAGAGCAGTGAAAAGGTGTGGCTGGAAAGCAGCGCAAATCTCCCATCAAGTACGCACCTGATTCGATTCCGCTGCTGTCAGACGGCTGCAACGGTATTTGCATCATTGTGCAAAGAATTATTACCGGCCTCGATTGTTCAAAGTTGCAGCTCGAACTCCAATACCATACTGCACGCTCAAGATCTACTCCGGCAACATGAATGGGCTAGACTACTAGACTTGAGAGAGTGATGTTTGTGATCTTGCATTGGTCGGTACAAATAAATCAAAAGAGAACATCCTCCACAAGGATAAAAGTCAAAGGTACATCTTACCGTAGCCCAATCCGTAGGATGCGGAGAAAATTGAAGTGCACCTTCCCAATTGCTGGATGTCCTGCCATCGCCAGCAAGCAAGATCATAGCTACGGTACGGAGGTGTAGTGGCATCGCTGCTTCAATTCACAAACCTTCGCATTTTAGATTTGGAGAGATTCTTTTTGAGGCAATTGGGCTCTCTTTTGTTCAACAAGCTAGGCGGCTACTGAGACTGGGTGTGCATAGATCTGATGCTAACTCTAGCTACTAGCTAGCTAGCTAGAGTAGCATGTTGTGGTGAAGGACGAGTACAAACACGAAGCCAGAGGGCGCAGCAACGAATAGCAGCTTAGGCCAGCCATCAAGACTCGTCAAGTTATGACATAGCTGTGCTGTGCCGAACAAACCTTTGGCAACCATTTGCCTATTGCTAGCTAGATTGGGTTTATGGGCTTGGCTGACTAACTTCTATCTTCATTCTTTGCTGCTACATGTATGCAAGAGCGGTTAGTAGCTACGGGTAGCCATTATCGTTGCTTTCATGCGCTTCCAAGGCTGTCTCAGGTCCCAGACAAAACAAAGGGAAAACGAGCTGTGAGAATAGACTCGACGCGGCGACTGCGACATCAGATGAGCTTGCAGAGCTATCGTACCGGTACTAGAAAGGTAGATGTAGACATGTAGACTGTCATTGGAAGCTGTGAGTTTTGTTGAAGAGTGACATTGGTGACAGTCACTAATACTAGCTAGATACTACTCCGCAAGTAGCTCTAAGGTTCTGTTGAAGTACAAGATGGGTCGTCGTTACTTAATGCACATAGAATTATAATATCAAGGCAGTTCTCCTTCAGAACTGTCTCTGATACATAAAATTTGATGTACAACTTCTATGGATTGTATTTTGGCTACCGGTAGCAGGACCCAGGCTAACCCATAATTGTTACCACTGGCTGGTACGGCCCACCAGTTTTTGCTCACTCTTTGGGTGGCTACCACGGTAGCTGACCTGCTGACAACCGGTGATATCATGGATGCTATTCCACCTCTACTAGAGCCAGACTGGCTATTAATAGTAGTAGGCCATCCTTTACATGGTAGTCAGCCAAGTTCCAGGTCAGCGTTCCTACACCTGAAAAGCGGCCACACCACCGATGGAGCAGCTGGATATCAATAGCAAGAAGCTGCCGGATTCCAAATCGACTGATTCAATCAGCTGGATGGCTTCATCTCCTCTAACCTGAAACTGGTACCGGTACCAAACTGCTTCAGGCCACGCCAGAAGAGCAAGGAAGAACCCAGCCAAGCGCATTTGCAAGCCAACAGGCCAACTGACCGGATCCAAACCTTGGCCTACCGAGGTAGCATACCAGGTACGACCTTGCAAGCATCTTCTTCTTGCTACCATTCCCTACCAGATGGTACCGATACCTCTTAGAATTAAGACCATCTCCTAGAATCGGAAAGCGGAATGAACGAAGCTAGCTTCTTTGAGTCGTCGAATTGCCTAGAGCTCGAGGCCGGACCTGAAGGCCAACAGGGATGAAGAGTCGAGTCTACATGAAGGCACCAACGATACCTACTTCGGGCTGCAGCGGCGGAAGGTAGAGTCGAGAGAGAAGCGTTGGTCCTATTGCCCTTTCTTCCAACTCTCATCATCCCGTGTTGAACCTTTGTTCTGTGTTTGAGCTTGTCATCAATCCTGCCTCTGCGGAGTTCTTGAGGCCTGACGATTGTACACTAGTAGTATTAGACAATGACTATAAAACTCTCAGTAGGTATCTTGGTACAGCTGCACATGCGAATTAAAGGAAAAATCTCGTTCGTCATTTGTACTCTGCTATTCAGTAGAAAAGAAAGTTTCCATTGAGGAAATGTATCAAATAAAGAGTGCTGACATCAAAGAACGCCTCATCTCAAAAGTTTTCCTTAAAAATATCATTTGTTGATTGGTCACTGGACCACCATTAGAAATAAATGTCACTGTCACTACTGGCTCAGTAACCCTCAGAGATAAAAACAGACTGTCTTATCTACTCATTGTTAACCTATTTTTAGTAGACGATCTTTGAGAAAGAAAAGAAGTTTGGGCTAGCAGCCAATCAGAATGAAGCATAGCAATAATGACCTGGAGTGACAGTCATTAAATTTTTGATATTCCTCCTCACTGTTTTCATCTCGTCTCATTATTACTCGCTCGCCCAAGCGCAAAACAAAAAGCTATCGGTATCTGCAAATCCTTGCCAATTTTGTACCTCTAACCACACTCGACGATGATGACCCCGTTAGGAAACGACTGCTACCAACAGCAAGCCTTTGCCATCCAATGGCAAATGGATAACAATGGTGGACTGATGCCAAACATGGGCCGTCGCCCCAGCATGCAGCATGTCCCCTTTATGGATTTCTCCTTCTTTCCCATTCGCGATGAAGCCGCCGCTGCAAATGCAGCTGCTGCCGCCAACTCCAACCCGAACAAGGCTCCACAGCAGCAGCAACATGTCGCCATGGATACCACCACCATGAACTCTGTCATGGCCAACAACTTTGTTGGTCAATTCCAGCAGCAGCAGCAGCAGCAGCAGCAACAGCCTCTCTTCCAGGCACCCCAAGTGGTCTTCCAAACACCTTCCGTTGCTGCAGTAGACCCTCCAGGGTCCTCTGGCGTGTACCATCAGCACCAAGCTGATGATATCTCCGAAGGCAGTGATCCTGTCAGTGAACCAAGTCTGGCAGTTGTCAGCATGGATGGCTCCGAGCACTCCTCGTCCAGCAAGGTATCTGTCTCCGAGGGCTCGTCCTTGTCGGACAGCCAGCGCTTCAAGCCCTTTCACGAAGAAAAGTGGAGTCTCCGCTACAAGGAGCTCCTAGAGTTCCACAAGGCCAACGGACATGCCGGGGTCCCTCATACATACCCCAAGAACCCCCAGTTGGCTCGTTGGGTCAAGCGCCAACGCCGTCAGTTCAAGCTCAAGAAGGAAGGAAAACCTTCCACAATGACCACGGAGCGTCTCGACCTTCTCGATTCGGTCGGGTTCATCTGGGACTCGCACGACCTCAACTGGAGAGAAAAGTTGGATGCCTTGACCGAGTTCAAAAGGACCATGGGACACTGCAATGTCCCGTCCAACTTTCGTGACAAAAAGTTGGCGACTTGGGTCAAGTGCCAACGTCGCCAGTACAAGCTCTATTGGGATGGCAAGCCTTCGGCCATGAGTCTCAACAGGATAGCCGCCCTCGAAAAGGTTGGCTTTGAATGGGAGATTCGCACCACGGCCAACAAGAACGGTTCGGCTTCCAACAAGGCAGCTACTGCTTCCTCCTCCTCCATGATGGACAAGTCCTCCGAGCCTCTTCCCGTCCACGTCCCTTCCACTATTGGATGTGGCGAACAACTCTTCTTGGCCAAGGCCATTGCCAGCCTGTAAGGTCGCAAGAGCAAAAGAGAGCCTACCTTGTGCATTCTTCTACAAATTGACGTGCTCTTTCTATTGGTTGCCAGCATTCCTTTGCATACACCTCTCATTCCATTCCTCCATTCCATTCCAGTTTTCTACAAATCCTTCCATATTAGCTCCTTCAAAAATACCTTCTAAACCTAGTTTCAAAAGTTACATTTGATGCCCACAATAGTCCTTCTTTAGTAATAGCAGTTAATTAAATAGCGTGCTCTACGGTAGCGTACTACTGTTGGCAGGTTGACAAACAGTTACAACAGACATTCGAAATGCAAATCTTGTTGGGTTGCGGGACCACGACCCCTCAGTCATGGATCTCAATCCAGAGCTTCCAAGGGACAACCAGCGACATCATGATCACTTTGTCTCTACTGCCCTCGTCATCTATCTTCGCAAAAACAAGCGGCACAAGCAAATAAACATACTGGAAGCTGTGGCCCGCAGCTAGTAGCCAGCTAGAGCGGACATGCTGGAGGTTCAGCTTACGTTGGGGGAGCTTGCATGGACTCCGTACCTGCAGCGCGCATGCATTTCAGCGATCTTCCCACAGTTCTACAGGTAGCCACACGGGTGAACAGATGATAGCTTGGCAATACTCCAGGTTTACTCTATTATGAGGGTGGCGGTAGCTTGCCACACAACCTTGAAAATTTGGTTTCGTTGCCAGCTACGAAAGGACACTTGTGCTATCCTTAGGCACCGAATAAAGAAAGATGATTTGCTAAGTACACAGTTGGCACAAGTTCCGGGTACGATTTTCGTCCTCATTAGTAGTATTGCGTGTCCTTGGTCACATGACTACGACGACGACATTAGTTCCTCCATATTTTTCTGCGTGGACTTGATTCTGCGCTCCAAATACTCCAACTTTTGTGTCATGTCCGCCTCCTTTTTCTTTTGCTCCTCCATTCTCTTTTCCAAGTGTTCCATGACTCCAGGTTTGCTAGATTTCATAAACATCTTTCCAATGGATCGATAACAATTGGCGTCAGGTGGCAATCCCTCCAATTCTTGTTTGGTGAGTTCATTGATGTGATATTCTCGTTGGGTCTTGACCGTGTTGGCATTGACGGTATTGAATTCTCGATTGGCTTGTGCATATTGGAGTTGCAAATCCTGAAATTCCCGCTGTGTGGCTGCATCGAGTGCCTTTCCTCCTCCCGTTACCATGCGTCCTCCGGAATCGGCAGCTTGTAGATTGTCATTGGGTGTCTTTTGGGATTCCTTCTTCAAGTGCTTGACAGTCCTCATTTGCTTCAAGAGCTGCGAATTGTCTTTATCCAATGCCAATCCTTGTCGGATGGTAGCCAAGGCGGCATCAAAATCTTTGAGCTCCATTTGTGCTGCGGCAAGTCGATAATACCCCTTGATAAAAGAAGGATCCAAACGAATGCACTCTTTCGCATCTTCTGCCGACGCCTTCCAATCACCTTTGCCTCCGTGCGATGCACTCCGGTTGGAGAAAAAGACATGATTATTCCCATCCAGCTTTATGGCATCCGTGTACAATTTAATGGCTTCATCGTATTTCTGATTGGCGAATGCCTTGTTTCCAAGTCTAATAAAACAAATAGAGAGAGACGAATAGAGATAGAGGGAGATGAGATATGCCATGCTACCCACTCGCCTAAAACACTACCGATCAGCCTTTTTCACTGCTTACTCTTTTAGTTCTTCTGGTGTCTTCCCTTCGCTCATGGTTCAGCTAACTAATAATATCCGCAAGATATAAGAGTGGGCAATGGAACGAAAAGCTCTTGTGGACTTGGGTTATTGCTTGCGAGACACTGCGACGGCGGTGTTTTGGGGGGCGCCATGGCGGCCAAAGGTCGGCTGCAAGCTGTTGGTGGCAAACGGATCTTATCTGTCCGTCGTTCGTGGTCCGTATCCTGAACGCTAACATTCGAACAAAAAATTTATTTATTTTGCACAAAAGATCATTATTTTTGGCTATGGTGGACACAAGGATTTAGATGAACACACAGAAAAGATTTAGTTCACGCTTTTGCCATGTTCGCAATGATGAGAAAGCATCTTCGAGTGCACGATCCACGATGCACTTCAAGAAAGAAAGCAGCACAGAAAAGAAAAACAACAGCCATGAGGACCGCAAGATTGGAAATTGGCTCTCTTTGGCTGCTGTTTGTGGGTAGCCTTGTGGTGGTTTCGTGCCCTTTTGTTGGTGGCACGAACGGTCATGGTGAAGATGCCATGTCCATAGCGACCAAGTACTTGCGTGGGTGGACAACACCAAAGGAACGAGGCTTGACACTGCCACATTGGTTTTGTTCTTTTTTTGACGACTCTGCCCCCGAGCACCGTTGCGACAATAATACAAATGGTTTTAATGTGAGCTGTCCACTGGTAGAACCATTGAGCAATCAATCCACTGACTTTGATCTGGAACGATTCATCGAACGGTCTTGGTTTGTACAAAAGCAACAAATCAATGGCTTTCAGCCATTTGTAGAAGAAAATTTCTTCTGTCTCGTCCATACCTGGCTGAATCGTACAGAAGATGAATACTATGATTATGTGCATTTTGGAACTGTTGGTAGCATTGATGGACCACAACAGGAGTGGGATGTTGGTTTTGATGGATTACCCCCAGCATTGTCAGCTTGGTGTTCTGGACAAGATGAACATGGTGGAGGGTATTTACGGATTTCTCCCTGCATCTTGCGAACTCTCCTGGTGAGAGTCGGCATCCCACTCTGGGTTTTGGCTGTTGCTGCAGATTACTCCTGGGCTATTATCAGTGGAGGGGAACCTGAAACTGTTCGACAAGTCGACCCACCTCTGTGTACCACAAGACTTGATGTTCTCCCGGATGCCATAGGAGATACCAGTGGAACAGGGCTTTGGCTCATGACCCGGGAAAGAATTGCCAGCAATGATACTCTTGCAGAAATGGAACAACTATTGTTGGATATGGGCATCTACACAGGGGATCTCTTCCCTGTGGTACAGGAGGGTTGTACGTACGAAGGAACAACTCTGGTAGAATGATGACATGGAGCAAATCGCTCTCTTGCCACTTGCAAGGCATTATGGACTACAACATTTGTACACTTTTAGGCTAGGCAACTTCTGTGAAGCCCCTCCGCTACAAGCAGCAGCTTCAAAAGCGTTCTCTCTCGAGAAAACATCATGGTCATTTGACTTCGACCCTATTAGCTCATATTACACCTCTGCCCATCGATCACTTCCGCAAACAAAACATCTAGTCACTCTGTGGTATCACTGTTATCCTCCTCTCCTTTCTAAAGAAGGGCGACGAAGGGAGCCCACAAGGCCACAACCATTGCAATCACACTGTGCCTGAAAAGGAGGTCAAATCAGCACTGTCTTTCTCTAGCATCGTTTCCTGGTCTTTGGAGTCTTTCGTTGAGACTCGAAAGTGGATGTGGACAAGCTGGACGTCTGCGCCTGAAGAGCTGGACAAATAATCAGCACTGCCTTCACTAGCACCATCAATCTTCGTTGGCTTTCTTGAGGTGGTGCACAGCGGGACAACTTGCGAGGGCACCCTCTTTAGTAATGCAGAACGTATCTCGTTCTCCTCGGTGTGCAATCCCATCGTACCGTACCTTTCCTTTCCAATTCAGCAATTCCTTTGCATGAAGGTCCTCTCGCATCGATTGGTTCGCAATGCACTAAAGCCCGTTGGCAGCAGCTTCGAGCTGACAGTCCTATGTAGCTTCCAGGTGCCACCAAAGTTGGGTTCTGCACTTCGCCAATCCATGCGCTCTTCGACAGGCTCCATCGGAACCTACCGTGAGCTAGTGATTTGGTTTTGTTACGGATTGGTTTTCATTGAAACCAACAATTATTGAGGCGCTATCTTTAGCTAGCTGAGCACTGGTACCGTATATCTTGTACAGTCTTCAGAACATTTATGACATGTTTTAGGACGTAAATTTTAAAATGTGGTCTCAGCCAAACGCCCTGAGCAGGTTTTTGGCTGCCAGCCAGACGATTTGGCCCAGATTATCTCCCAATAACTCGCGCACCCGCACCCAAATTATCTGCTAAATAATAGTCCACGTATGGTTCTATTCCTTGCAACAATTCCGCATAGGTTTGTCCATGTAACCGCGGGACGACTCCATTGTTCATCATGGCCTTGAATTTTCCGTCAACGGGGACGGTCGAGTCGGTATAGTAGAGTTCGAGGGCTGTATTACGCAGATTGGGAGCCGTGGAAGCGGCGAGTTCTACGGCTACTTCGGCCAGATCGGCTCGACTAACAATCCCTGCCAAGACATCTCCCTGCGTGATTTCCAAGGCTCGAGGTCCCAACACTTCGTTCTTTTTGGGTTCTTCCAATCCTCCCGGGCGGACAATGGTGAAGGATGTAGCATCCGCTGCAGTTTGGTAGGCATTGATCACTCCTTCTTCTCCTAGACGTTTCTGTTTGAGAGATAGTAGTATCAATGACCAGTGTAAGCAAAAAAGAGGGATAAAGCAGCCACTTTCAACCCTCTCGCTATGTACGGTAGTCTGGACATACGTACCTGATCCATGATTCCTCCCATGACGTTGGTAAAGATGTATCCCATACTTTTGGGTCTTGTGGTGGACGTGGAAGAAATTACAATGTATCTGGGCACTTTTTCGGCCAAACAGATATTTCCTGCCTGCACGACACCCACATTGTCAATGGCAGCTGCATTGCCACCCTTTTTCGACGCCGATGCGGCATAAATGACACCACGGCATCCCTTGAGACTATTAGCCAGTGCGGTTGGATCCTTGATATCACATGCCTCTACCGTCAGCAAATCATTTTCTGCGGGTGCTCCATCATCCATGGGCGAAATCCATTCTCCCGTCCGCGTGAGTGCCTTGACGGGAAACCCACGCGAGAGACATGCCGTGACGCAGAGAGCACCGGTTCGTCCGCTGGCTCCCAAAACAGCAATGGGTTGTTGTGCACTGTTGGCTTGCTGTGGTGCTGACAGCACTGTGGATACTGCGGCCGTAGTGGCGAGCCAATCGCGACGACTTAGCACCGGCGAATCCTGTGGGACATTGTTGGTTGTTGTTGGATTGTTGCTGTTCTGGTGATTGCCGCTCAGTGACAAGGCGTCGGCAACTCTTCCACCGGTACCCAACCAGAGCAGCAATGGGGAAAAGCGGAGAGCGAGGGTTGAAACAGAGACCATGGTTGTGACGAAATAAGCCAAAGGGAAGGGTGAAGAGTGGGAAAGGCAAGATGATGTGCATGTTGTCAGTTGTCAACGTTGCAGCACGCGATCTTTGATGCTTGTGTGGAATCGAATCGAATCTTTGGTGTCACTTTTTGCACGTCTCAAAGACTTATTGAAACTCTTCCGGCAAATCTTGCTCCCGCAGCACAGATCTTTGAGCGGCTCTCATGCTGCCACCATCTACCCGTAGCTATTAGACTAGCTCTGTAGATAATCTTGAATAGAGGGGCTTCTACTGTATCCAAAGAGCCAACACTCTCAGAATCGGATAATCAACAAGATACCGTCAGAATCAAATCAAACAAGGCAATGAGGAGAACTTGTACCGTTTTGACTCAGCTGCTTGCAGCACTCTTCGTGGGTAGCTCAACAATATTTCCAGTATCGGTGGTTGGCTTTACTACTACCGGTAGGAATGCCAATAGAAGAAGGAACTCGTTTGTATCCTCCGACCAAAGAGCTTTAAAAAGCAGCAGTCTGGGGTTTGATGAAATGTCGGGGTTGGTACAACGATTAAACAGACTGGAAACATCGGCACCGGATATTTTGAAAGAATTCTACGAACAACACCTCCACAGTTTCTCCGTCAAGCCAGGGTCTTCGGATACTCTGAGTGTCACGAGTACCTGTTATGCACTATTGGCCATTCAAACTGCCTCATCCGCCTATGACTCGATTGTTGCCTTTGACCGTACCAACAACGACAGTGAAACCGATGAGGATCCAACGAACAAGGACAAAATTTGCATTCCCACCGTTGTAAGAGCACTGCTGGCATCCGAATGGAGACAAGATGATCTCTTTCAAGTACCACTCTTGCTCTTCACAGTACTGACTATTGACAAGGACCGATCCATGGTACTACAATCCGCTGCATTCAATGAACAAACAGCGCTCAAAATACGACAATTGATTCAAGCAGTGGTACAGGCACGTCCCAAACGACGGATTGGACAACGACAAGTGTACTCTGACTACATCACCTATCAAGTCTGCAATGTACTGGCACTTTTGCAAGGATTGTCCGCGGAACAACAAACGAAACCACAAGAAGAAGCAGATGTGCCAGAAGGAGACTTTGTGGGAGACTTTGAGGATCCTGCAGTGGTGGGAGGGTTGCCTGCCAATGCCGTTCCAGAGGGTGCTGCCTCCGAGATTTCTCTGGGGTTGGCCCGATGCGCCGAAGTGGCAGCCAACGAACTCTGTCGACAACTGGCTTATCGAGTCGCTGGAGACACCACTGCCTTTGATGTCATGCAACTCGCCTACTCCTTGTTGACTTATGTGCAAAGCACACAAAGTCTCACAGGAGTGGCAGGGCGAGAACTCATTCCTGGACAAGGAGTATCGCCCGGAACACAGGTGACGCCGCTCAATAAACGTTTGGTAGTGGCGGCATTGGATGCCTTTTTTGCAGAACAACATACCAAAGATGGACTTTGGGACAAGGGACAACCCATTTACCAGTCCTTTCGACGACAGGGACGCAACGTCGGGAATGCCTTTGTGTTTTCAGTGGATACCGTAGGCAGCATGCTGCGATTACTCCCCGCGGAATACTTTCGACCACACTTGCAATCGCTGGAACGAACGCTCGATTGGATTGAAGGGCACGAAACATTGGAGGTCATTCCGGATTACTGCGATCCAGAATCTGGAGAGTGCTATGGGAAGGCATTGAAGGGTTGGGCATCTCCACACTTGCGCCCCGAAAGTGGGCCTCAGGCATGGTCCACGGCCCAAGTGCTGGCCTGTGTCTCTCTTCTCAAAACCACAATCCGCGAACTCATGAATCGAGATGTCTTGCAGGAATTTGGTGGCACGGCCTATTCCGAACAAGGCCCACGACAAGAAGGTTGGGATCGACTCTTGGACACGGACCTTGGCAGTGCAGCAGACAACAAAACAATCAAAGAGGTTTTGGAAGAGCGTGTCGTGACGCCCTTTTCCGTATCCATCAACAACCCATCTTTTGGAGCTGCCTACAGTGCCATTCTCTTTGGACCACCAGGGACAGCCAAGACGACCATTTGTGAGGCCCTGGCACAAAAGATGGGATATGATTTCTTGGTGATTGATACCACTGCATTTCTTGCCGACGGTCTCACCAATGTCGCCAATCGTATCCGCTACGTCTTTGGTCGCCTCATGGCACTACAAGAGTGTGTCATATTATTTGATGAGATTGAAGAGTTTGCCTTGAACCGAGAAACTCCCGGCCTAAGCATGGAATCACGCATGTTGACGACGTCCATGCTCACCGCCATTAACGATCTCCGACGTGGCAAACAATCCATTTTCTTTGTGGCGACCAATCGACTCCGGGCGTTTGACTCGGCCATTACCCGCCCTGGTCGCTTTGACATGCAACTCTTTGTGGGGACACCCAATTTGGGTGCTCGGATTATTCAATTTCAATCCAAACTACCCTCCTTGACAAAGACACAAAAGGAGGATGCCATTGCCTCGTATCGTTCCTTTTTGGAATCCGTGTGGACCGAGGACGCCATGTTTATGAATTACTTGGAAGGACTGCAATTTGCATCTGCTTGTGCTTCTCTGGTGAAAAGCAGCCCGACGAAACAACTCGTTACGGAGCCAATGGCTGACATTTTGGCCAAACAAGCTGCTGTGATGACAGTCCGTGGTCAAGTCCGAGATGAATACTTGGCATCCATGAAGCTGTCACGGGTATGAACATAATCGTTAATTTTCTTGATAGAAACTGTAGATCAAGAGTATCTGACTAGGTACCAGGTACCACTGGCCAGAGCTCCATATCAAATCATGTGGCTCATATCGAATGGAATCAAAGGTGCCAATAGTTAGATGGCGCTACTGTTACTCCCCAGAGGGTGTTTAGTAATGTGTATAAAGTATTATGATACTAGAAAAGTTGTTTCTTTCACTCAATCCAAGCGTCATGTGCACCCCAACTCCGTTGTTGTACTAATTGTTGTTCAGTTTTTGCCGTCCTCTGTAGTGCTGCACATCCCCAAAGAAATATACAGTTAATAATACTCATTCAATCAAGCAATCAATCAGCAGACTCAGCAAAACAAAAAGCCCCATCATTCCAAGAACGACTGTGTTTGCTTACTGAGCAAGAATGGCCTTTGGGTCTTCGTCATCCTTGGTTGTTCCTTCTCCAAACTTGACCTTTTTCTTTTTTGGTTCATCGGCATCATCTTCCTTGGCTTCATTTTCCCGCTTGGAGGTTGTGGTGTCTTGCTCTTCTTCGTTTGCCTCTTCTGCTGGTGGTTCTTCGTCGGGCAATTCCATAAACAGCTTTTCTGCGATTGTCTTTTTGAGCACCAGCAGTTCCTCCGTGGACGGTCCTCGTCCATTTCGTTCCCGGAATTGTTTCAATACATTTGTCAAGAGCAGCTCCATCATGGCGGCCTTGGCGGATTCCTCGTCCTCTTCGTCATCCGACTCTCCCTCGCATTCTTCTTCGTCTTCTTCATCCTCATCCTCATCTTCCTCTTCCTCCTCATTGTCGACGGGAGGAGGAGGCAATGCCGGAGCCACCACATCGGTTCGAGCGGAAAATGTCAAGTATTGCTCCTTGGTGTAATCCAAAAAGAATTCGTCATTGGACGCTGTGGGTGGGACGGCAGTCTTGATGGTTGTTTCTCCTTCATCATCATCCAATGGATCGGCCACTTCAGCCACCTTGATGACGAGAATATCTCCGTAAATTTTGGTGGCGTCAAACGGAGGCTGGAGTTTGTGAGGATTCAACAAGTGTTGAGGAGGCTTGTCATTGTCGTCTTCCTCGTCGTCGTCGTCATCAGGATCGATCCATCCACGCTTGGCCATCAACATGATTCCCTCTTCTTCGTACTGTCCGACAAACGTGAAGGGACCTCCCAGGATGGTTTCGCATTCGTTCTTCTTGGGGGTTGTATCCAGTTCCATTTCTTCCACCAAATCATGATTGTTCACAGCGTCATTGGCCGCTGACTTTTTGTCCTTGTCATCATTGTCATTGCTTGTGGCACGCAACACGACACACTTGACAATGGGTCCTTGCTCTCGTAGGACCTTGGCAATGTCAGCGCCCTGGAGCTGCTCTTGCATCTGCTGTTGTGCGTCCATGGTGGTAACTGTCTCTTCTGTTGCTATTGATATGAATGATGAATTACTCTGACAAGAAAATGGGAGCTTGACGTGATGCTCTGGATTACTGGACCAAGCTAGCTTCTGCTTTCCCTCGCTTTGATGGAGAGGCGAGGGCGTGGTTTCGGCGGGAAGCCAAGTAAAAGCCAGTTGAGTTGTCAAAGACACATCATTTTGAGCCCTCAAAGATCCAACGTCTTGGCACCGTTGGATCCTCCGAATTGACAATTGCTCCTCAGGTTGCTCGATCCTTGACTGCTGTGTAGATCATCATCATCGTGCTCTTCAGCCGCTGACTTTGATCTTCTCAATAGCTGTATTCATTTGCCCCGTCCCTCGACCATGATGACAGCTGCAGGGTTGCCAAGCCGTCCTCGGCTCTGCCTCATCCTTTCCCTGTGGTGGATGGCCTTACTGATGGGCCCAGTTTCCTCGGCTTCTCCTGGAAACCCCAAAAGACCATTGGCCACTCTCTCGTCCACGACACAACAGCATTCTTCGTCGGAAAGTACTACTAGCAGCAGTAGTCTGGATGTGGCCCAGGAATGGAACAGCCTTCATGACGTTGAATCAGAAGATGAGTTGATGGACGCCACTGTGAGTGTGGCAGCCACCAAGGAACGCAAAAACTTGACGGAATCTTGGTGGCCTCTTTGGTGGGGTAGAATCAACAACGATGCCAGCAACAACGCCACTGCAACCACCACAGATAGTGACAAGAAGAAGAAGAAGCGAGGCAAGGGCGAACTACGACAAGTCGAAGACAAGAAGCAAGACAAGAAGAAGCAAGACGAGAAGAAGCAAAGCAAGAAAAAAGAAAAACCAGCCGACGATGGCGACGTCAAGAAAATCAAGAAGAAAAAGAAAGAGGAAGGCCCGGCACAAAATACAACCTCTACAGATTCATCATCCACAGCCACCAATACTACTAGTACACTCAAGACATCACCACCCACCCAATTCATTGTCATGGGGGCTCCTCCTCGGGGTGCTTCTCCCTCATCACCGTATCCTCGATCGCCACTCATGTCACCACAACAACAGCAACAACAAATGGCCACTCTGGCCATTGCCGAACTCATTGGCACAGTGGTCGCCACATCCATGCGACTATGGCTCCTCGTTTGGGGATCTCGCTACTTGGCCAATCGACAAGAAATCATACAACCCACACAGAATTTCGTATTTGAGCGCTTAAATGACAGATTCATGAGAGATACCATGGCACTCCAAACCGCTTTGGAACAACCACCCTTGGGTGTCAATAAGCAACGCTGGAAATTCATCATGGCCAAACGACGACAGCACAACCTGGCGTCCTTCTTTCAACGACCATCGCTCGACAAAACTTTCCAAAAAACGGTCATTGTCATGGAATATGGAGGCAACAACCAAAAGGGAGAATCAGATCTCAAGTACGTGGCAGACCTGGTCTCCTTTCTTATACTCATGCACCAAGAACAAGCTTTTGGATCCATACCACAATCACTATCCGCCACAGATCCCTCCACGGGAAGAACAAAAACGCTGACAGTCTGGAAACCCGTTCCACTCGAAGTCGTCTTGAAAATCACCAGTCCCGGTGGTGCCGTGCCCACTTTTGGATATGCGGCGGCGCAAATCAAACGATTGCGACAAACCGAGGGAATCTCCACAACAGTATGTGTCGACATGTACGCGGCATCCGGAGGATACATGATGGCCAGTCAAGCCGACAAATTGGTCGCTGCGCCCTTTGCCACGGTCGGATCGGTCGGTGTCATTTTTGAAATGCTCAATTATCATGACGTGCTGCGGCAGTATGGAGTCCAACCCGTCGTTATGAAAGCGGGAGACCAAAAGAATCCCATTTCCTCCTTTGGAGCCGTCACCAAACAGGATTTGGAAGTCAATCAAGAGCGCCTTGAAAAGGTACACCAGGAATTTCAACAATTCACGATTGAGGGAAGACCACAGCTGAAGGGAAAAGAAGCACAAGTCTGTGATGGTTCCGTCTATTTGGGATCCGAGGCTCTCTCCCTCAACTTGATTGATGAAATCATGACGTCGGATGAATACTTGCAGCAACGAATCAAGGCGGGTGACCGCGTCTTGAAAATTCATCGGTCCCATCAATCCCGATTGGCTCCGTATGCCAGACGGTTGTCCCCCAAGGATATTCTGCCGCACTTGAAGGCCAGAATAGAAGCTTGGTTGGGAGGACAACAACCGGACATGGCGGCACGGCTGGTCCAGTTGGGAAGTATCATTGGATTTGTGCATCACTTGATTTCAAATCATGGAAGCAAGGGCTTTGGGGGCAACCCAACATTTTAGAAATATACAGTGCAGTAATTATGATTCGTAAAACTATCCGCATACCGCCTTATCCTGATTGGTTGAATGGTGGTACTGTTCAGCTGGAACAAAGCGAACCGTTGATGAGAGATTCGATGGCTACGTCTTCCAAATGTCGTCACCATTTAGATACCAAAGAGAAATGGGAGAAAACTCACCCCAGCTGGCCACAGAAAAGCTGACAGAAACCACAACAGTACCGCGGTACCGTACCGATACCATACTGGTATCCATGTGCAGCTAGTTCCTGATCGTTTTATGAACTGACTGGCTTATTTGCACCTGCACAGTGTCTCCACGGTCGTACAAGGTGGGTACCTGGTACCGTACTGTTCCACCAATAATACCGGTATCACGCTATTAGCACGACGCCACCCAGATAAATATTTCTTCGCTCTTCGCGGCCGAGGCACCAAGAACCAAGACGACACAATTACTCCCTACCATGTCTACTTCTGCTGATGGGACTACTGGTACAGGTACCAGCCCCAACGAACAATGTGCTCTTGGCCTGCTGACATTCTTGGAACACAAGGCAATATGGATGGAGAAGATTCTTTTGGGTCTCCCTCTCATCACTCCATCGGTGGGAAGGATGGTCAATTTGGCATAATCACGGAAACTTGCATCACCAAACCGACAAGCGTTGTTGGACCTGATCTGCCTCCCTGGCATTGAAGAGTACTGGACCTCAGATCACTATCTTGCCCCTGCACGACTGTCCCCCGAAGCATTCCAGCTGGTTGACTGGGACGTATGCGGAAGACTGATGAAAACTCTACCGTTAGGTATGCACAGGTGGTGTACCAAACACGCTTCTGAGAACTGTGGAGTGGGAATTACCCTCAAGCATTGGCAGAAACAAGACGATGACCATTGCCCACGTTGCGGAGCATCAGAAGACACTACACATGTCCTACGATGTCATGCTGAGGGATCTGATGAAGTATGGAGTGCTCACATGTTAGAGCTGGCTTCTGCTTTTGGGGAGCTTCACACCCCTCTTGAACTTCACATAGCACTGGTTGACCGCCTCAACAGTTGGCGCAATTCCCTCCCATTGCTCCCCAACCCCCAGTGGGATGCCACTCTTACTCAACTTATTGTCTCCCAGGACCAGATTGGATGGAAGAACTTCTTGGAAGGTCTACCCTCCATCCGTTTTGTCCAGTATATGGATTCCTTCTAGAAACGAGAAGGATACTCCATCACTGGTACCACTTGGACTTCCAAAATCCTTCGCAAAACCTATATGATGGCTTGGAGCTTATGGGAACATCGGAACAAAACTCTACACGACGACCACAAGCCCCGTCAGAAACAAGCTCTCAACCTGTTACACCAAGCAATCGCCAATGAGTACATCAAAGGTACCAGGGGACTCCCCTCCTGTTATCACCATTACTTCAAACACTCACTCATTTCCCTTCTCACAAAACCAAAGTCCTACAAACAGTCCTGGCTTCAAGGGCTACACACTGTCCGCGATAGAGAAACTAGACGTGCTAACCAAATCACTGAAGACAGAAGACATTCCAGACTCTATCAGTGGTGTGCCACAGGACGCCTTTGACTTCTCCATCACCTTTCCCTTGAACCACCTCAGAACCAACCCAACCTGTCTTTTCAAAGACACCATTAGAACATGGCCTTAGCGCGCCATACCCCAAGGAATGCCTTAGCGCGCTTTCTCAGGAAACAAAACAAAAACTTTTTATGGAACCTTATTCAGGGCCTTAGCGCGCCCATAACCCTTCTACTCGAACAGGGGGCCAGAAGTGCCCCCTGTCATTCTGAGTGAAGTAAAAGCAAGCCCTCGGCGCAGTAGCAAATATTAACTACTAATTATTGTAATCAATTAATCAATGGATGGAGAAGATTCTGCCCTATCTTGGTGTCGGACAGTATGCTTTGGTTGGAGCGGTCAACAAGCAATTGAATCTGCTCTACAAGGAGCATTGGAAGACTGTTCGGACTCCAACAGTGGTTTGGATACTGGTATCTCGTTATTTTTATCTGAAGAAGCGTTCATCCACCAGCACAAATACATTCTGTAGGGTTGCGTTTCAGAATGTGGCATGCGCGGAATACTGGCTACGTGACGACACCCCTGGCAAGACTCCCAAGCACTCTGAAGTTTGCGGGGCAATCGCAAGAGTTGGGAATTTCGCACTTCTACGATGGGCGCGAGACAAAAAAGGTTTCTCTTGGGATGCAAAGACATGTGAAGCTGCTGCTGCTTCTGGACGGTTGGACATTCTCCAATGGGCCAGGAAGGATTTTTGCCCGTGGAATGCGGAAATTTGCACCAAAGCTGCTTTTGGTGGCCACCTAGACATTCTGAAATGGGCTCGTGAGAATAACTGCACATGGAATGCATGCGTAGGCTGGGGTGCTGTTGAAGGCGGACATTTTGAGATGCTGAAATGGGCCCACACCAATGGATGCATGTTGTCATCGATGACATGTGCAACAGCTGCTTCGAAAGGACATTTTGAGATTCTAAAATGGGCCAGACAAAATAATTGCCCATGGCATGTTACTATATGCACTGATGCTGCTGGAAAGTCCCGCAAATGCTGAAATGGCTGAAGAACGTGTAAAAGTGTTGAATTCTGTTTCAACAGTAAGAGTTTCTTTAAACAGTTAGTCAACACTTTTTCAGCACTTTTTCAACACTTTTTCAACACTGTTGAATACTGTTCAACACTGTTTTCAACACCTGTTGAATCCCGTACTAGTAGTTTGCAGTAAAAGTGTTGAAAATGATGTACAAATTTTCAACAGTATTTTCAACAGTTGCTGAAAGAGAATCAACACTTAATCAACACTTTTTCAACACTTAATCAACACTTTTTCAACACCTGTTGAAAAAATCAACAGTTCAAGGTGCTTAATTATGGGTAATCGCAAAATTCAGCTTTTGCGGGACTTTCCTGGAAGTGGCCATTTAGAAATTCTCATTTGGGCTCACGAGAATGGGTGTCCCTGGAATGTACCGGTATACACAAGGGCTGCAGCTGCCAAAAGTGGCCATCTTCATGTATTGACATGGGCAAGAGACAACGACTGTTCTTGGAATGCATTGACTTGTGCAAAGGCTGTAGAAGGTGGGCATTTTGAAATCCTCAAGTGGGCTCATGAGCAAGGGTGCCCATGGGATGAACAGACATGCATAAATGCAGCCAAAATGGGTCATCTGGACATTCTCAAATGGTTGCTGCAGAATGAGTGCCCATGGGATGGAACCACCTGCTCTGCAGCTGCCGAGGGTGGGCATTTAGAAACTCTCAAGTGGGCTTGGGAGAACAGATGCCCTTGGAATGAGAATACATGCATGTCAGCTGCTGCCAATGGCCATTTGAAAATCCTTAAATGGGTGCATGACCATGGATGTCCATGGGATGGAACCACATGCTCTGCCTCTGCCCGGGGGGCATTATCAAATTCTCAAGTGGGCTTGTGACAATGGATGCCCATGGGATGCAAGGACATGCTCTGCTGCTGCCCAAGGTGGGTACCTTCAAATCTTGAAATGGGCGCGGGACATCTAAGAAGCGCATTTTGGGCAAAGTGGATATTATGGGGAAGGTGCACAAAACGCTGGATCAAATTTTAGCGACTCATTTATGTAGGTCCCTTATCATGTCGAAGGGCATTATTTTACCCACAT